ATTGCAAGCTCCTTTGCCTGCTCGCATAAATAAAGTAGAAATTCTGCATGTGAAGTAATATTTTACTTTTAAAATCTCATTTTTTTCGTCATTCTAAAAGATGGCCCCGCCTTAAGCTAAAGCTTACATATTTTGATTTCATTTAAACACGAAGACTATGTTCGGGGTTTTCAAAATTACTGTATTTGACTTAAACTTATATCATTAACAAAATTGAACGAACGTTTTTTTTATTTAGCCAATTTTGAGTTCACTTAACCGCGAAGATCAATTTTTTTAATTTAGCTCTTTAATGTGCTTAAGGTTTTATGTGGATTTGCCTTCACTAGGTAAACTCTAAGTTGATTGGTAAAAGTCGTAAAATAGATTATTTTAATTCATTCAATGTTTCATTATCTCCATTAATCTAGTAATAAAATAAGGAAATAATTTTTCTTCTTAAAATCGCTTATAACAAATATTTATCCTCAAACCTAATGGTGTAAGCAAAGAATAAGTGAGCTCGTTCTTTGAAATAAGATGAATAACAATTAAGGCATTCACACCAAATAAATATAAGACTATAATGCATTCCACTCACTGATTGAATATAATAACCTTTCAATATTTTATAGAATGTCTCGAAATAACTAGATGTTATTTACATTTCATTCATACTAATATGCGCCTCGTTACTGGAAGCACCACAATATGTTCCCCTATTAAAGAAAAGGCTTTGATCCTGTATGAGAAGATACTGCGCATTTCCATGGATAAGTTCTTCAGTAATTAAAAAATAGACCAAGACATCTGAACACGCTATCTGGTCTAATCCAGAAAGACATACAACTGGAGCAAGCATTATAAATCGATGACAAACCAAAAAGCCACTCTCTACCCATGAACCCATTACAGACACTGATGTAGTGTGTTGCACCTAACTGCTTGACTTCTTCAGGAAATGAAACACCCCTCCAGATCAAATGCGTTCACTGGCCCGTTGAGATAATCAAAGTCAACTATCCTGGAGATCATTGGCTCCATGTTTTCACTGATGGGTCACAGATAGAAAACTAAGCAAACATTGGTGCAAAAGTCTATTCTGAAATCTACTGGCTCTACGCAGCCGTGGAACACAATAGATCTGCTTTTGAAGGAGAAATAGAAGCCATTAGGATAGCACTATGCCAATTATGTTGCATGAATGCAACATTCATTAAAGTGGTCATACTTTCAGACTCACAGACAGCAATAAACTCAGTTAAAAACAGTTAGCCACACAAAATAGCTGAGATAAAGGAATGTAGAAAACTCTATGAGCTGCTGAGAGAGAAAGCTGAGATAAAGGAATGTAGAAAACTCTATGAACAGCTGAGATAAACGAATGTAGAAACCTCTATCAGCTGTTGAAAACAGCTGAGATAAGGAATGTAGAAAACTCTATGAGCTGCTGAGACGAGGAAAACAAAACAGTGGTCCTACAATGGATTCCTGGTCACTGTGGCATTAAAGGCAATGAGCTTGCTGACACACTTGCTAAGAAGGGGACACCGATTTTGCAATGCATGGACCGCCTGGTAAAAAGTGGCAATGAGAGCCTCTCTCTACCCATGAATCCATTATCAGACATTGATATAATGGATTCCTGGTCACTATGGCATTAAAGGCAATGAGATTTCTGACACACTTGCTAAGAAGGGGACAGGCAATGCATGGACCGGCCGATGTCTTTCCACACAATGAAGTCCTTAGTCAGAACAGAATTCCATACCTCAAGGTGCAACGAACTCAAAGGTCGAACAAAGGAGAAACATNGGAGAAGACCCACCTGATTTGGTGTCCAGTTCTATAGTCAGCAACGGAAAGCCAAAGATAATGGGAAGCAAGAAGAAAGCTAATGAATTGCTATTAATTAACTGCTATAAATGTGCCCCCCTCTTGGGGGAAGCTGAAGTCAAAGATTAAGGGCTAATGATAAATATTACAGAGCCTGCCATTCGAAATAATTATTATTTCTTGCACTTGAGCTGTTTTATCGCAGCATTAAGTTTGCAAGGTCGGAATGGTTCTGTATGTACATTATTTGGTGTTGCGTCTTCCTTAATTTCACCAGACTGTCTTACTTGTGGATTTAAATTACTTGAAGATTTTCTGACAAAATGGTTTTTCTTTTGCTTGTGGGAATAGAACCTCAAAAAGCAGTTAGCTATTTCGGTGTCGGTGGTAAGCAATTTGCTGTTTAAGCGTATTGTTTCTTTCTTGGGTCTCTTCTGTTGTTTCGCAGGTTTCTCAGAAATTTGAAAGTACGTTGGCTATTACTTTAATAGTTCGTCTTCAGGCTTTTACGTCTTCCGTTCTTCCAGTCTGATCAGCAGTGCTGCGAAGGGCGTCCCGATTTCTTTTCAGTTCCTACAGGTGTTTAGACTAAAGTACTCGATAGTGTTTAGTCTTGCCTCGGTGAATAGTTTTCGTTGCTCATTTTATCATAATATTCGTGATACCAGTGCAAAGTTTGTCGGGATGTTGGATGAAGTTGAGGGGACTTGTGTGAAGTTCATTGTCTAAAAGGTTTGTATCATTGCAAAGTTTGTCAGGATTTTGGTTGAAGTTTAGAGACTTGTGTGAAGTTCATTGTCTAAAAGGTTAGTGAATCTTGTCGCTGCAAAGTTTGTCAGGATGTTGGTTGAAGTTGAGGGGAAAAAGTTTGTCAGGATATTGGTTGAAGTTGAGGGGACTTGACTGAAGTTCATCCTCTAAAAGGTTTGTGAATCTAGGCGAATGAAATTCATCCTCTAAAAGGTTTGTGAATCTACGCCGTCAGCCTTCTTGAAGTTCCATGATAGCCTAGTTGGCACATTCGTTGTTTCTTGAAGTTCCATGATAGCTTAGTTGGCACTTTCATTGTCTTTTGAAGTTCCATGATAGCTTAGTTGGCACTTTCCTTGTCATGCTTCTGCCGCCGATGTTAATACTAACAATGACTGATTTGTGACCAGCACCAGGATCGTCAATTATTTTGCGGCGTGTATGCTCACTGATGTCGCCTGAATCCAGGAGTAAGTAAGGAGTTGTTCTTTTTCCATTGTAGTGCAAATATGCAGCCGGATCCTCATTGCTGTAAATAAGTTCCAGAATGTTGCTGTTTAGCATGTCTTCAATTTCCTTTCCACCTATGTTTGTGTCCTTGTAGCCCCATCTAGTTGAGTGGACGTTGAAGTCTCCTTATACTATAGTTTTGCGTGAGATGTTCAGAATGTCAAAATTTGGAATTGAAGTTTTGTGTGAGATGTTCAGAAAGTCAAAGTTGGGACGGGGAGGATTATAGACTGCATATATCTTGAAGCGGTTTTGACATGTGTGAGTTGTTCAGAAAGTCAAAGTTGGGACAATTCTGGTTAGTGAGATGTTCAGAAAGTCAAAGTTGGGACAATTCTGGGATGAGATGTTCAGGAAGTCAAAGTTTGGACAATTCTGGGGTGGGGTTCAGATAGTCAAAGTTGGGACAATTCTGGGGTGGATTACATCAGAATGTCAAAGTTGGGACAATTCTGGGGTGGATTATAAAATGCATATATCTTGAAGCGGTTTTGATATTTCCAAACATTTAATCTGATTATTTCACATATCTGTGTCGAGCCCACATACTCTTGATTAGATCGTAGTGTGAGGTGAGGCCTTCTATTACTCCAGTCAGAGGTCGTAGTGTGAGGTTAGGCCATCTTTTACTCCAGTTAGGATTTTCACATTTGTCTTGTGTCGAGCCGATACTCTTGATTAGGCACACTTATGTCTTGTGCCGAGCCCATACTCTTGATTAGATCTTAGTGGCTTGCGTCGAGCCCATACTCTTGATTAGATCGGAATGTGAGGCCTTCTTTTACTCCAGTTAGAATTTCACTTGCAACTTGCCTGTATTTAGGTAGAATGTACAGGGTGTAACCTGGGAATCGGTAGTACTTCAGTTTGTCATTCGAAATGTTAGCTTCCATAATTGTGAAAATGTCTACATCATAGTTTTGTAGGATTTTCTGTACTTGGATCCTTTTGTCCGGAGACATTCCTCCAGCATTCCACTGGAGGATCAGAAGACGTTGTGATTCGCCCTGACGAGGGCGTTTTTCTTATAGCTTTTTTAAAGCTGATCATAATAAATCGAATTCAAAAACGAATGCCGAGTGAAAGACTTTTTGCCGTAAGATATTACGTTGTCCAGGGTGTACCACGTGGAGGTAAGTCTATCGCGCACCCCGCCATTTGAAATAATAATAATAATAAATCTAAATACGAATTCGCGTTATCATTCAGTCAGATAAAAATATAACTTTAAATAGTTTAAAATGTTTGCATCTGTCAAGGCTTTCATTTGACAATTAGCGACATATTTATTTATTTATTTTCGCCTCATACTGAAAAGTCTTAATTGACAATCGTAGAAATAAACGTCTTCTTTTCAGACTTCTTTTGGAATCACAACAATGAGAGGAGAGTTAGGTAAATGCAATGTGTTTGATTTACTTTATTATTTGATTAAAGATCACATGTACCAAGATTATTTGATCATGATAATGAATCAGAAATGCGATTACCAACTCCATATTCAATACAAATTTCGCAGTTTGCGAAGACGAACAAATTTCCATTTCCAATTGTAGTCTAGCAATTTCTATTGACGTGTGCATCTCTGTTATTGCAATTTTGAATAAATAAAACGCAGACTAAATATATGTGAGATTATTTGAATCATGTGCTCTAAAAGGTTTACAGGTAATCTTAGGAGGAGGTTGTTTGCGTACGTAGGAAAACTCGTCTAATTACAATGGCACTATTAAAAACATGGCTGAGAAGAAATGTTTGAGTAAAGCAAAACATTGTGGCGGATGAAGGGGGGAGCAAATGATTACTTTAGTGCATCGGATTCTAGAGACGCAAAGAAGTAATGGTTTTTGACATCAATAGAATGTCGAAGGGTTTAGTGATAAGGAACCTGCGTTTGTCCCTATGAATTTAAAATTATGACATATTAATTACAAAAGGGTTGGAGGTAATGCAGTGATTTCAAATACATATAAAAACCTTGAATTTAAATAATATAATCATTGATGATGCCAAATTATACCTACTGATATTTGTCCTCTTAAAATAAATTGACTAATAACTTTAAACTCTGTTATCGTCCCGTGTCTTCAAAGAACTGCATAGCTGGTTATATCTATCAGCAATAACCAAAGTATTAATTATTTTGCACGATATCAGTTTTTACAAATAGAAATTGTGCATAATAATATAAATCCGCTGTAAGGAAAAAAATATTAATTAAATGCTTTTAAAATAACTGGGATAAGCGTATGAAAGTCTTTATTGGCCGGCTAGCGACGGAATTTGAAAGATGCGCTTCCTCATTTATAGATAAACCTGAACCGTCGGCTCTACATTCCATCGAGATCAAAGTCAATTTCTTTACAGGAATCAGAAGAAGAATGCAAGCGGATTCCTAATTCTGTTGCATGAATACAATCCGCATTAGTAAATCAAAGAATTAAAAATGAAGCATCGATGAACTTTTGCATAGCATGAAAAGCCTACTGTAAGCCAGGTAGATAAAAAATTGAATGGAAATGCAAATTGTATGAATTGAATAGTGTTTGTTACACTAGAATTTAGTAGCATCATTAATGGCATTTCAGAGAGAATTTATTATTAGGCCATGGCTTTACGCCAAGCATTAAATTCCCCAGCAATGTGTGCTGTAACCTACTCGAGCACAAACGTTTTGTTAAGTAACTAAACTTCAGCAGCAGTAATGGGAACTCAAGACAC